ATCTGAACAAGGCCTTGTGTAGACTGGGACCTGATTTGTCGCGCTTCACAGCTAAATGTCGGCCAGCGCGCCCTAGTATAACCCCTCTGTTTTTGCGTCAGAGTGGGCCAGTGAGGCCCAGGGGAGAGATGTATGATTGATTTTAGGAGGATCAATTCAGCACTGGCACTACATAGACTCTGGTGCATTTGGGCAGAGGGAAATAGTTTTTCTGTGGTTGTTGCGTTCCTGCCTTGCTTGTGTCTTCTGAGAAATGAAAACATTTTTAGTGTTTTTGAAAACACCAGGATCAATTCTGAAAGTTTTTAGTGTTTAACACAGATATGCCATTTGATTGGTTTAGCTGATTAGGGAACGCTTTATTTGCATCTGGCTCATCTCAAGGGTGCTCACTTAGGCCTAGTTTTCCATACAACTTCCTCTTTGGGTTGGATAAATATACCAGCCAGTGTTTTATGCCCCTCCTCCTGGTGATCATGCCCCTGTTTTGATCAATATATAGCCTCTATGTGCATGTGTGTGTCTGACATGGGAGGGAGCAGCAGAGAGTACTTTGTGCGCAGAATAAATATTGATACAAACCAAAGCAAGGGTCCAATTGATCTGTGAGTGTAACTGGAACATTGCAGCTCTCCATGCTAAATTGTGTGACCACACACTGGATGTGGATGCTACCGTCTTTGTGCCCTGCAAAATTAGCAGTGAAGGCTGGAAAGATTGAAGACAGACAAGGATAGTTGTCTTCTCTCTGTGGATGAGTGGGGCTCCTGATCCGACCAGAGTGCTCTCAGAGGGGGAGGAAAGGTCATGACTCAGTGACTGCGAGGAAGAGGCCAAGGAAGAAGAACAGGGGAGACTTTGCAGGGCTAATGTGTGACAGGAAGAGCTCCAGAAAGCATGCAGGGAAGAGGGAGTCATCCTCGCGCGCAAGTGAATCAGGGTCGCGCCCTGCAGATGGTGCCGTACCAGAGGTACCCATAGTCATCCCAGATGGTAAGAAATGTGGGGTCATAGAGCTGTTGATATTTAGCTGATCACTTCACCTGCAATTATCTAGGCTGTCTTGGCAGCCAAAACCTCACAAATCTATTGGCAAAGGAAAAATTTGCTTTTGAAATAACCAATAAGCTACTGCTAAAGCAAGGCCCACATATTTCTATTATGCTCCACCAAGTTATGAAAGGACTCGTTCCATTTGTGGCTCTTGGTGCTTGGTAGTGGGAGTTGAGCAACATACACTGGAAATGTTTTCCCCCTGTTGACCAGTCTGATTCCGTTGCATTTTGTGGGAGCAGCAGTGCTCTTGACATGTTTATGCGAACTTTGGTCTTTGCCGTTTAGTGCTTACTTTCTGTCATCCTACTGTTTGAGCTGCTGGTCTCTAGAGAATTAGCAGGAAATCACGTTAGCAGGATCAGGATTTAGCTTTGGTGTAGTTTTCGTGTGCTTGTGTTGAGAAATGCGGAAAAGATTTCATGTGATTTTTCTTTTGGTAAAGTGGTTTGTTTATAACAGTTGTCATAATATTTATCTTAGTTCATTGGTTTAGTACATCATTGTACAAAAGATCATTAACTTACTACGTGCTGTCGGTATCGACAGCTGACCGGCTTTAGTGAAATTTAGCTGTAGGCATTAATCACCCAGATAGATATTCCACATTATCCTGAAAAGCTGATTTTTCAGTTGTTAACCAATCAGTATCAGTCTTTTTGGGGGGAATTAGTGTGATCCGTAAATCAGTCCTGTTTGTATTTTTTAAATATTTTGTCCATGATTAGTAGAAGCATGAAGTGTCACTTGCTTGATATTTGCTGTAGTAACAAAATACTCAAATGTGTTCTACTGCCCCCCCCCCAGGCAAATAGTTTTAAAAGCTGTGCTCCTTCATCTGCTAGGAAAGCTAATGTCCTATAGAACGAGTACAGAGACAGTGAGAAGGAATGAGGAAGGACTGGTTATCAACATGTTCCCACAGAGCACTCTAATTAGTCCCATAAAGGTGAGGGCAAGTATGATGAACCACCACGTATGACACAATGTGTGCCAAGCTGTCAGATCCTGTCCACAGGCATGCCTGTTTGTCTTCTAGCATGTTTGTGTATAAGTCATAAACTGTGTGCTCCTTTGGCCATGCTGTAGGTTTGCTGTAAATGTAATGCAGCCCTGTGTCAAACTCCCAGGAAAGATATCGTTCAACAGAAATATTTGTATGTATTTCTTATCACAAGTATACAATTCCCTGATAAAGGTCTAGATCCCTCTACTACTTGCATAAGACGGAGAGAAGGCAGTGTCAAAGTCAATGACTAAATTAGGGAAAAAATTGCTTTAAAGATAATTTTTTTAATTGAAAACCAATTTTGAATATCTCTAAAATAGGTCACTCAGTGTGCTACGCTGACTTTGGCTATAATGCACTTGCATGGGGTTGTGTTGAGCTGTATGGACACTGTGTTGGACCAGCCAAAATAAAGTCCTTTCACATGTTCTCCATGGCCTCTACTCCTGAGTTTTTCCAGCAGGATTTAATTTTTTTTATACAGCTTCACTGTCTCTGTATCTGTCAGCTGATATCGGGTTTTAAATTGACTTATAACAGATCAATCATTCTTCCTGTATGTTTTTTAATATGCAACCATTGAAAGCTTCTTTTTTTTACTTTTACATTACAGAATGCAGAAAACAATGGTTGGGGTAATTTAGAAATATTTTCAACACAGTCAGCCAGCAGACTGTACTGCAACTCCATAGTTTACATTATACTCTCAGCATTGCCTGTAGCACATGAACTCGAGCATCCCAGCTGAGCTCAGTGATCCACATTAGAATATGTTGACAAAGTATAACAGTGTTACATTTTCTTAGATGAAGTAATAATTTGTTTAAGAAATCACCCTACTGTATATGTTTGAATAGTCATGTACAAATCAGTGCAGAGTTTAGATAGTAAAGGTCTTTTTTAACAAAAATATGTCACTTTATTAGCTGCTATATACTCTCCGGATAAGTTCTTATTTTTTTCATTTATTTTGACTAAAGCGCCCATTGAAGGAATGTCTTTCAGTATTTATAACCTGCTGGTTGTTTGGCACACAGTATTATTGCTTGTAACTTTTTGATCCAGTAGATGTCGCTCTTGAGCACCAGCACTAAACCAAAACAAACTGCTGTTTGTTGACACCTCCGCTATTCTGAAGCCTCTGCTCTCCTCCAGCAACACACCTCCAACCCCTCTCCACCCGTGTTCGCACGAAGGAGTTATTTAAAACAATTAGAACACACCATAATTAAGCACCAATAAGGGCAAGCGGCAGATGAAACTGTCCTTAGTTCGAGCTGCAATTGCCTGTGGCCTGCATTGTTAGCTCCTAGCTTCACATTGCAGATAAATGGACATAAAATAACCGTGATCTAAATACACGAGCGTGACATCCAAATAAGCAGTGAGTATGTTTTTTTCTTGTCTCTAGTTATTCACTAAAACAGCTTTATATGCAAGGTCGTCCTGGCCATGTAAACATGATGTAAACACGGCTCCGACAACAGTCCAGCCGGTGGGACTCACTCATTGTAAATGTCTCTCTGAGTCCTGACTCTCTACAGAGGATATACTGGATTTCTGCTTTATTGATGTGTAAAATGTCGCACATTACTTTGACCCGTTTAGAATAGGTGTTGGGGCCAGCCCTTTTGGAGCATGTGGTCTTCAAAACATGTGCCTGGTTTGGAGCAGGTTGATTGGCTGCAGGAATCGCTGCTCACAGTCTTGTTTGGTGTTCCTCTGCAATACACCTGCAGAGTGTGAACTCAATCACATAATATGTTTTGTAGAAAAGCAAAAGAAAGACAGTCTCACACAAGCTTCTCTGGTACTGCTAAAGAAAGGGGGAAAAAAAACCACAACATGGTGCTACCATAAAGAATTATATACTGCTGATGATAAGCTGAAGTCCACTTTGGCTCGCTGAACAGAGCTTTTAGTGTAATGGTTGAAAATACCTTTTCGGGTTGAAGTATTCCATTCAACTTTTTCAGTTGGTAAAGGTCCCTCTTCTGCCTTCTGAAGAGTCTGAGATTATACAAGAGGTGTCTCTTTACCACTCTCTTAAAGACATGTGACCTCGGACTCATCCGGGCTAACTGTTGGCTTATACTCAATGTCTCTCGTCTTCAGCATGGGAACCCTGTAGCTTCTTCAAACTGTTATTGGCCTCACAATCGCCTCAATCATAAGTATGAACTATGCCATGAGCAGAGCCTGTACTAGAAACCTTCACAGCTGTGTTAAAAATCCTCTTTAAATTATGGATCTTGCTGTACTTGCTTCACGAGTTATTCTACTTTTCCAGTGACTGACTACTTCTTTCTAAATAATTAGTAATTAATTTGGTTTGGACTTTATTTTGTCAGCACTAGTGTCACACCGTGGCTTCATCAGGCGATATCTCCTCCTCTTTATCATTTTTCATCTCCAAGTGATTCTAATGACCTGTGAGGAAATCATCTGATGTTAAGTGACAGGAGAAATATTCAACTAAGCAATACTTGTTTATAAGGAGGTTATGTTTCTATGTAGTTTAATAGGACTAACATTTAATCCATTCATGTTTGTTCGTTTCTTCACTCAATGGGGAACACTGCTGCATTAAAACATTTAGCTGTATTTAGATTGATCAGAGGAGCTTTATCTGAATTTACAAATTCTTCCAGATGTTACTTGTAATGTATCTCCCCATTGAAGAAAAAGAAGAATACACACTGAAGTCAGGTGACGACTTTTGCAGTATGAATATTCTTGTACACATGGGCACAAATCATGCATCACAATGTGGATTGAGTCTCTCGTCTTTACGTTTGATTGAGAATCTAGTGCTCTTCTCTGGGTCTTGATGTTATTATGGTAACCTGTTTTACAAAGTAATTCAAATCTGGACTTGTTTTTTTTTTTTTAAACAGATAAACTCTGTATTCATTTAGCATCTTGTTTCTTATTACAGTGAAGGAGTTTCTTGCAAAAGCCAAAGAAGATTTCCTGAAGAAATGGGAGAATCCAGCACAGGTGAGAGTGAAACACAATCATTTCTTCATTACTGTTTTCAATGTCTTTTGATTCCATTAGTTTACGTGATTAAAGCCATGTATTTGTGTTTCATATGCTTGTTCACTCCAGACTGATAGAAAAAGTCTCATCATATAATATTTAATTTAGAGGGGCAGGGCACCCTCTGCTGGGCCATTGTGATACACATATACAGTATGTTTGTTTACTGTAGATTTCTCTGTGTAGAAACGTGTTATGTAGACTCAAATAAATGTCATAAAAATATCTAACTTTCATTTAAACAAGTTTTATAAATACTTGACATGAAAGTGTTTTTTGTCAGGCTGGTATTAAGCAGAAGCCGAGCACTAAAGTAGTGCTGTACGGCTGTTCTGTGCCCCGTCCTCTTACTGACTCCCCATTCTCCCCCACAGCAAACTGCAGCGTTGGATCACTTTGAGCGTCTGAAGACCTTAGGCACCGGTTCGTTTGGTCGAGTCATGCTGGTTAAACACAAAGAATCGGGCCAGCATTTTGCCATGAAAATACTTGACAAGCAGAAGGTATAGTACTGCGAGACCGAATATCCACAGAGACACTTGTTACATTTATCAGGGGAGTGCTTGACTTTGGTGCTGATGATCAAGTCTCCTATGTTGAAGTTGTATGATTAAGAATGCCAAGCCTTGGACTTAATCTTCATTAGTATTTCTATGAGTAACTTAAACTTTAAAACCAAACAGGCAAGATCATGAACATATATATTCTGGTTTTAGGAGATACGTACAAAGGAGAGAGAGATTTTTTTTTTTAAACTGCATATTTGTTGAACCTCCTGATCATAAAATTTTAAAAGTCCTCCCCAGTCACCATTATCTCTGATCAATGACACATGTGACTATGACAGAATCCACTACTTTGAGCAGAACAAGTGCATCTTCTGTTACTGAATCAATCTTAAAGAGGCACAAAGATCATCTTGTTGTAGGAGTTCAAACACATATTGATTGACGAAATCAACTAGTTAAACTTTTTTTTTGTCCGAATATAGAATGTTTGACAAACTGTTTTAATGCACAACCTCAGGTGGTGAAGCTGAAGCAGATAGAACACACACTAAACGAGAAACGTATCCTGCAAGCCGTCAGCTTTCCCTTCCTGGTGCGACTGGAGCACTCTTTTAAGGTATGCATTAAGAAAGTCAGCGGTTCATCTCTGAAACATTTCTACCTTGTTTTTGCTTGTTAAGTAAAACTTTTCTCTCCCCTCTTCAGGACAACAGTAATCTTTATATGATAATGGAGTATGTGCCCGGGGGCGAAATGTTTTCACACTTAAGGAGAATCGGCAGATTCAGGCAAGTTGTCTTGAAGGTAACTCCTAAATATTTCCATGCATCCCTGCAGTTGACTGTAAACATAATGTTATGCCTCATATGTTTTGCAGTGAACCACACGCTCGCTTCTACGCAGCCCAGATTGTACTGACATTTGAATACCTTCACTCTCTGGATCTCATCTATCGGGATCTTAAACCGGAGAACCTGCTCATTGACCAGCAAGGTTACATTCAGGTAAGGATGTAGTGCTCGCTTCCTGTAGCCGTCGACGATCTTTTTGTTTTAATTGGTCACTGTGTGTCAGTGCTCAGAGCTGTACACTTGTCTGACAGGTAACAGATTTTGGATTTGCGAAACGGGTGAAGGGCCGAACCTGGACGCTGTGCGGGACCCCTGAGTACCTGGCACCAGAGATCATCCTCAGTAAGGTAGGCAGTCTCAGGGAATCGATTAAATGACTTTGGTAAAAACCTTAATGTTTAGGTAAGCCTTTATGTTTGAAGACACAGCTGACAACCCTCGATTGTCTGTTTGTTCCAGGGTTACAATAAAGCAGTGGACTGGTGGGCTCTGGGAGTTCTGATCTATGAGATGGCTGCTGGTTACCCCCCCTTCTTCGCAGACCAGCCTATTCAGATTTATGAGAAGATTGTATCAGGAAAGGTGAGTTGAGACAAAACTACCTTTTATAATGCTGTATGTATTTAGTTTGGCTGTCTGAGCTCAGCTCTACACTGCTCTGATCAGAGGTGAGCATTTACAAACTTTACAGTACAGCAAATCTCTTTAAAAGTCCCTCACTGGCACCTGTGCTGCTTTCAGGTGTCAGGAGTTTACCAGTGAATGGTGTTGTCACAGTACATTCCCGAAGTGTAAAATCTAGTTATGTGTAACAGTCAAACAAGTGATTTTGCTCTCTCTATTATGCTCATACGTGGATTCTCCACAAAAGAGATTTTGTTAATAATGAATTAATACCAAACCGCTAACCCCTTTAATCTTATAAGTCAGTGTATGGAGAGGTGACTGGCTCTAATTTTGCCCTTGGCCCTTAAGCATCATCATTATAGGGAGACAGCGCCTTAGCTACAGTCATTTCCTTATTTAGCGTGACATGACACAGAGCTGAACATACTTTTCCTTTTAAGCTAAAAAGGGTTATTTTAATGTTGCTTTTTTTTATAGGTTTCATTAGATTTCCACTAAGGATTCACAACTTTAAGATATCACTCTTTTTCAGATGAATGTGTTTTGAATGTTAGTTTAAGGTCCAATCAAATTTCAGGTATCTTTTTTATCAGAGTCCATTAGTTTCAATTGAAGTCAAACCTGAGCCACTGGTTGATCATCTTAATTTGTCAGCTTTAGCCATGCAGGAAAATATTTACCCGAGTCTCTGGCAGGTTGATAGCATTGAGGATAATTGAATTAACACAAAGCACATAAACATACAGAACACACATGCGCACAATAGTGAAACTATTACATAACCACTAATCAAGTCACTTCAGAATTTGAATCAGAGTTTTTTTTTCATTCCCAAATGACTGCTGGACCAGGGTAACAGCTTGAAGTAGAGAATAACCCCTGTTTAAAGTCACAGATTTAGAGGTACATTCCAGCAGGTCATTCATCATTTTTTAACTGTTGATATCCGGCCGACAGCTTTCCTAGATTCAGTTTGTGATCATTAGCGTTGGAACTAAACAAGTGTCCTCAGTGACTTTGAACATTGCATCATTTTAACATCAGGCCTTGCTTTAGCATCTGCCAAATGGCCATAATCTTTGGCATTCATGCACAGCCGTTTATCAGCTTTGTTGGGAAAAGCAAAAACGACTAAATTACCTTACTGATCACAGCGGTTAAAGTATTGGAACAGTGCAAACAAGCAGATGTGTCACATCCAAAATCAACAGTAGTGAACACAGTGTTGACCGTACCACTTGTAAATCACTCATAGGACTGCACTGATGTATAGCTGTAGACCAGAGTCTTTCACTTTGTTTAAAAACCTTGACACAGGATTCAGAAACACACCTATGATGTCTTATTGTTTGCAGGTTCGCTTTCCCTCCCACTTCAGCTCAGACCTGAAAGATTTGTTGAGAAATTTGCTGCAGGTGGACCTGACCAAGCGCTTTGGCAACCTCAGGAATGGAGTAAATGATATCAAGGGCCACAAGTGGTTTGCCACCACTGACTGGATTGCCATCTACCAGAGGAAGGTGAGAGACCTGACTTTATACAGTACCAATATATACACAAGAAAACAACTTTTTTGAATCAGAAGGGGAGATGAAAGATAATACTGATAAAGGTGACTTAATGTGATGCTGATTGGTAGCAATTCTCTTCAGTATATATTCTTATTTTAGGGGAATTTCACACCTACTGTGCTTCAGCTGCACAAATGATATTCTGTAGGAGGCCAGCGCAACTTCTGGTCTTGAAATATGAAGCCGATGCAGAAGTGCAAAATCCTGCAGTTGGTTGAGTGTCCGCTTGAGGCTGGCTGCAGAAGCACCAGAAGTCACATGGCTGTTTAAAAGCCTGCTTTTACAGCAGAAATGTACATGTTTACAGCCTGGTTCAGAAAATGTAATAGGTCTGATTAGCTCATGTCTTGATCGTCACAAGCTGTACGGGGGTGCATTTTTTGATAACTCATCGTTTTTTGTTTTTTTTAAATGAATTATAAGAGTTATTTACATAAAGGCATGTAGCTTACCTGATGACAGGTGGGCACGGTGTAACGGTTTGTCAAGAAGCTTAAAACCCACCTCATCTCCAACTCTTAGCCTGTCATTAGGTTGACTGAAAGTTCGGTTGAGACAACATTTCCAACATGGCGATCACCATCAGTGGGACTCCAAAGTCTCCTGTAGTAACATATGGGGTGACTTCACTCAGGATTTGTCCATTTGATATTTACAGTCTATAGTCAGAGGCCAATAAAAGAGTTGCTGAGCACACACAAAACATGTGTTTCCCTCCTTTTACTTTATATAGAATCTGTTGGATTTTGCAGGATTACAGCACAACAGCATAAATCTGAAGTGCGCTATAGTAGAAATTAGTACTACTTTATTTGATGTTACAGTATGAATAGAGATACAACACCTTATTTTAGTCCACATTAACTTAGATTAAGCTTCTTAAAGTGAACATAAAAAGAGGAACATGATGAGATGACTGCATCCTATCCATGGTCTCATCAGGGAAAAATGCTGCATAGAGGGAAATGTAACCATTAGGAACACATACAGATATAAAATAACATGCCATGAGTAAAATGCCAATTTAGTTTTTATTTTACGAGTTTATTCAAACAAAAAACTGTCTCTGCTTTCACATTAATACAATTAAGTTCAGATTTTTTTATTTTTTCATGCAGTTGTTGAAAGTCATTCTGGGAAATCTGGAAAATTGTGTAATTCCATCAGTTGGCTTGAGGGAAAGTAAATGCCAACACATGATCACAAATTAGGGCCAGCAATGTGAGCTGATTAATAATCTAACGTGTATGGAATATATTTTCATTTCTTACTCCTTTTTTAGCCACATCCGAACTAGTTTGAAGTCACTGTGTTCACATTTGAATGAATATAAATGTTTTCATGGGAGCTATGCCACAGCTCCTTTGGTGCTCTCTATTACAGTAGAACTAACTGCATCCTTCAGCTGATATGATTGTCCTGTGTTCCAGGTGGAAGCTCCCTTTATTCCTAAGTGCAAAGGCCCCGGTGACACAAGCAACTTCGACGACTACGAGGAAGAGGAAATCAGAGTCTCCTTCACAGAGAAGTGTGCAAAGGAGTTTGCAGAGTTCTAGATTCCAACCATGAGTAGCGAAGAGACAGAGAGAGACAGGTATTTAGAAAGTCTAAGGGGGTCAAAAGGAAGGAAGCGCTAGGGTGGACTGCTAACTTGCTTATTTGTAATGACGACAACAATGTAAAATCCCCCAAAAGGAAAGGTAGGCAAAGTGCAGAAAGATCCAACAGAACCAGCAGTGTTGCCTTTTCTGATTGTTTCTCAACTGTTACCTTTTCATTTTATTTACCCCCTCTTGTGTTTGTGGCAGGGGCTCGAGGAGAACAGGCAAAGGTCGTGGCTGTCCAGCTATACTTGTATCTTTTCTGATTGTGTAATGATGACATGTTTTCAGTCTTCGCAGGTTGAGGCATTGATTTTTTTTGTTAAGGTACTGAATCTGCTAGGCTCCTTCTTTTTTTCTTTTTTTTAAACGGACCATCTCTACAAGCTTCTCAAAGAGTGATCGTTGTAACCTGTCATCCTGGTTCCCCCTCTCCATCTCTCTATCCTGAATCTGTCCAAGCAATACCAAGTCCAACAGATGTGCCTATCATAATGCCAACTGGTTGGAAATCTGTGTCGAAAGCATTGGCGCAGAGCTTTGGCCGTTGTGGCATCTGCCCTTGTGCCCATTTGGTTTAAAGCTTGAACACACTCTGCGCCTGCCTTTTGTCTGCTCAATGTGGCATGATTGTTGGGTAGATGACGCACTCACTGCTTGCAGTGGAAAGTAGTGGCAACCTCTTTGATCAGAGTGAATATAATTTATCACAGTACACTTTGTCTCGGCCTTACTCCATGTGAGGACCTGTGAGAAACTGTCAGCCTGAGGTCTGCATTGAAGTCTGTCTCTCTCTTAGCTGAATTTATTAGAGCATTTTAAGAATCCTATCGGTGATCATTTTGTCCTTTTTATGTCGATCTCTGTGCTTGTGTGTTACTTAGTGCTCAAGGGTGGGTTTAAACAGCTGTGATTCAGCAGCAACTAACATTGTGGTCGCACTCCTGTCTATTGTTTATTTAAATCATAGTGCATTTAAAATAGATTCTCTATCTTTACTTATATGTGTATCTTTGTATATAAATAGATATATAAATAATGATAGAGAATATGAATTATCCGTCTTTTTCTCTTTTTTCAACTGTGTCTCATAGCTGTGAAACTGAATTTAAGATTTCATAAATAAATAAAGAATTATGATATCTGCCAAAATTTGCAAACTGAGAGCATTGCAACGTTTTCTGTATGTATCTATGATGGTGGTGGATTTTAATACGCAAAAAAAGTAGCAAAAACAACGTCTCGACAAAATGTGCATGTTATTTTTGTACAATATCACTTCTAAAGAACGGTGGCAGAGCATTATGCAGAATTCGTGCTGAGGTACATGACATCATGGATCAAATGCTTAACTGTCGAGGTGGACTCTGGGCTGCTCTGTTTTTGAAGATGGAACAAGACCCAGTGAGACATGTTCGAGCGTTCTTCTGGGCTGTGGTCAATATTCAGTAGTAACTACGGTAACAGTTTGCTGATAATACTCACTGAACGTGTGCTTCTCACATTAATAATTTCAAATTATTTTTTACCCCTCCTCTCCTCATCTCTTGTATATACTGTCATGTAACACCTTCCGATAATTTGCAGTCCAACCAAATTTGAGGGTTTTCTTCTCAGTTTTTACAGCTTTGTAACAAATTAAAGAAAAGGAAGCTATCCTAAAGCTGCCCCCCTCCCCCCCCTCCCTTTGCCAAGTTTATTTCTGTGGATGCAAGACAATCGCAGACCAAATCTTATTGCTGGTTTGTTGACTGAACACATTATTTTGGTTTGTTGAAGGATGTTCACCCCCTCCCACCCTCTTCCTCCATAAGCCCCTATAGGTGCTAGTATTTCTCCATCTCACTGAAAAGCTTCTGTGAATTGTTCAATGTGCATCAATCTATTTGTCATAGTCTTGTAACATGACATTTTTGAGAATGTTTTTTGACTCCAAGTGGTTTTTAGTAGGCTTGAGTCATCATTTTTGCCGTCTCTTAATGTAACTGAGATCAAATGCAGGATCACTTTTGAATGTCTTGAATTGTCTGATGGAAATGTTTCAAAGCTGTTTGGAAAAACATGAAGTGTGTTTTGTATATTACATGTTTCTCCGGTGAGCCTGTTTTTTTTTCTTGCATGTGGTAAAGCAACCCCAAGAGCAAGACATCTCCCGGGAGCTGAGACATGTTTGAGAATGCGTTGTTTCCACAGCAGACAGTCTCATCTCCGTGTAACCTTTTTGTTTTTGTTAGAGCATCACACTGAACATTGCAGTGGATCAACAAGCAACTTCTCAAGCCTTTTGCAAATAGTGAAGCACATGCCCACACCCCTTCAGATCTCTTAGATTGTTGATTCATGCTAATTATTTGAAACTGTTAAGACACAATGTAATGCTTTCAAAAGAGCACATGTAATTTATGTTCTGACACATGACTATGAGTCCTACATGAAGTTGGTGGTATGGAAGGCAACACCACTTGATCCACTTCAGACACTGAAGCCATCAAAAAGATTGCTTTTGTTCACATTTGTTTCCCCTTATAAAACTTTATTTTGTTTTTGTCCTGAAATTTCTCCTATCAGCTTAACGGTATCAACTGCTTTGTGCTAATATTGAGTTTTTCTCCTGGGTTTGCCTTCTACTTTCATCGAGTTTCAGCACACTCATTCAAACGTAACACTTTTTACATCTGAGATGTTTTGCGTTCATATTTTCTAATTGTATTTTCAAAAAAAAAGAAGCAAAAAAGCAAAAACAGAACATTAATCTTTTTTCCTCATGACCTGGGTACAGTGATTGTGTAGTCTATTGTACCTTTTGGGAAACAATACTGTATATCCTTGCCTTTGACAGTCTTAACTATCTTACCCTCTGGAGAACTTGACAGATACCCTTAGAACACAATGAGTATGTTAAAAAAAATATACATAAAGTAATATTTTGCAAAATGTATCATTCCAATAAACTTTTACTTGTTAAGACTATCATGTTTGTGTTGTATCTAAGCTGTCTCTTCACTCTGCACAATGTCACATCATTTCTCAACATATGACATGTCTTAATATGAAGTTACAGTCTACTCTAATGTCTGAGTCAGAGGAATATTACTGTTGGATTTTCAGTTATTGTAAACGCTTTAAAAGGCTGTCAGGTGCAGTTAAATAATGCAGTGTTGTGTCAAACTGTCATGGTACAGGATCAATTACCAGCCAGCTTACAGCACACCTCTCGATGTATTCTCATATCATTGCATCCGTCTGCATCACTAACAGGACCGATAGAGAGCATTTCCAGATGTTTGCCAAGAAATTAAGGTAAAGGACCTGATGACAAATGAATCCTTTTCAACAATTCATGGATAGATATTAGGACATTAAAAAGACACATTGAAATGGCTAAAAAATTTAATCAGAGAGGGGCGCAGGTGGCCTAGTGGTTAGTTTACATGCCTCATGTACAGAGGCTGTTGTCCTCGGAGCAGGCAGCCCGGGTTTAAATCTGACCTGTGGCTCCTCTACTGCATGTCATTCCCAACTTTCTCTCTCTGTCCCTGATTTCAAACTGTCCTATTTCAATAAAGACATAAAAATACACCTTAAAAATGAGAAAATAATAATAAATAGGCCTTTATCAAGAGAAAAAATATGTTACATGTCAATTTAAAATACGTTACTGCTGTAAAAGCAGACTTGTAATGTTCTTTGAAAGTAGCGTTTATATTGATGTAAATTGAATCAAATTTACTAAGCCTTTTGCATTATTCAGCTTAATTCTTTTCATAGTTTGATTTTGTGGTAGGGTAGCTTGTGGAGCCCAAAATTCACTGCTCCGCCTCTGTCCTAAGATTTGATCGTGACAAGGAGAGAGAGAGGCCCTCGTGATCTAGCTTCATTAACCATCAAAGGCTGAACGTCAACAGTTGTCGGTGTCACACTTTGTAACTCGTGAAATAAAGCGTCACCTTCTGCACCCATTGTGGCGCACTTTGGGACGGTGTGTGCGCCCTGGTCTTCCAGGACTGCAAGTTCCACCTTAAAAAACCCCTCGAGTGAAACTTTTCGCTTTAACTCCATCGGTCCACCTTAAGCGCACACGCAAACGCACTCGCAGGAGGCGTACAGCGAGGTTTCCGCTTCTCAGTTGGGCTTGAACCGCGACTCACGAAAAACACGGTGTGTAACGTAAAAGGTTGACGCACTAAGGTAAGAAAAAAAGAAAGAAGAAATCAAATCGAGCAACAACGATGTCTGAATCAAAGTACCGCGAGTGGATCCTGGACACCATCGACTCGCTGAGGTCTCGTAAAGCCCGGCCGGACTTGGAGAGGATTTGCCGAATGGTCCGGAGACGACACGGGTCCGAGCCCGACCGAACCTGCGCAGAACTGGAGAAACTGATTCAGGAACAAACGGTTTTAAAAGTTAACTACAAGGGCTCAATTTCATACAGAAACGCCGCCAAGGTTCAGCGCAGAAGCAGGAAAAAAGACGATGCAACGTTAACGACGGCTGCGAGACGGAGCACGGTGGAAGAAGCCAGTCATTCTGACTTGAGCAACGGGGACAGCGCTTTCGGTCCTGTGGACCAGGACGACGAGGATCTGGAGGTTTGTGTTTTTAGAGGAGGCACGGCACGAGCTCACATCTCATTGTCATAGCAGCTTGTGAAATTAACAGGTGGAGGTAAAAGCTCGGCACGAATAGTACTCCGTGTTTGTGCAGAAACACGTCTTTCTGTGTGCACACGGGGAGTGGTGAGGGGAGTGATTTGCAAGTGCACCCAAAACTGCCGCAGACGGGGAGCGGCGGTTGGACCACGCTCGAGCGCTATCGAGGTGGAGACGGAAAAAAACGGAAGGTGCGCGTGTAGTCAGAGTGTGTCTCATGTTGTGCACAGCGCCGCTTTTAAAGCACTTCAACCCGGCGAGTCACACACACAAGTGGATGACTAGAAAAGTTGTACCGTCCGCAACAACCCCAGCCACCATTATCAGCTGCAGAAAGCGCTTTTCAAGCCTCAAACTCGGCATTGAGCGAAGGGGAGGAGGGGGACCCCGCAAAGTTAGCAAGACGGTAGTAGAACCAGGCTGGAAGTCCTATCAAAATAAAAGCTTTATTATACCTGCTAACCGAGCCGGCTTTTATTCTGAAAGCTGCAACTGGAAATACACCATTTGTTTTCTCACGAGCTTGTAAATGTGGGAGTGGATGAAGGGGAAAAAGTCTCAAACACCGCGGATAGGAGCCTGATGAGGGACTCCGGGACATTGTTGGGTTGTTGATTGTTTTTCCCGAGGCGAAAAGCGAGGGCGACCTCCCTAGGCAATATATGAGCCACGCATCCTCATTTGTAAACCCATGACGAGATCGCACCGCATCCGTCTGACTTTCTGCGATTCTGCAATGCTCGTCACTATGTCTAGTCCTGTTTTAAAAGGCAACCAACTCCATTGTTATCGTCCCAAAGTACCCCCAGTAAAGGTTTTTGTGGCTAATGCGTCTGTTTTTTCGGGTAAATGGCGATTGCCGACGCAGTGCATAAAGTCGAACCCCTGGATCCATTATCGGACGGGGAGCCACGCTCGGTCACGTCTACTGCTTGGTTTCGTCTGTTGTTGTGGCCTCTCCCGTCCCGTACAGCAATTACATCACTTCTTTGTGTCAGGAAACTGCTAGTTGACATTATATTTAGGGTAGCCACATCTCCGCTAAGTAATGACATGTGTTGGAGGCTTGGAGCTGGTAACACGGCGACACATGAACTAACTAAAGCCACCGCAAAGTGTTAGCAGGATGCTCCATCCGATTTGGGTTAAGCTGAGATCAAATTCACTTTGTTCTCTGAAATGCGTGAATGTCCCTACAAAAAAAACGATCAATCTCCACTACTTCAAAGAGACTGTTTGTATGGGCTTGCTAATAAGGCTTAGCCCGAAAGAGAGGGTCAGATGCAGACAGCGGCGTGTCCGATAACGGACTCATTGTGCGTTACTCTTTATGTTTGTGCCTACAGTAGCTACATCATTGACCCGGCACAAAGTAGTGTAGCAGTGGAGGTAACCGCAGCTCGCTGTGCTCGGACTGCTGCGTTTATCTGTCCGTGGAGTCAAAGCTCGTTTTTTATAATTTTTTTTTTTTTTAATCTCCGATCCGGTTTTTTTTCTGTGTCTCGGCCCCGTGAAGCGCTCTGTGTAAGAGCACTGACACAATGGCGAGGTCTTTACCGCGGCTCCCAACTCCATGCGCACTTTGAAGGAAATTTGAGCAAAAACCGAAAACGCCTCCCATCGGCCCTTTCTGTGCTCTCCGTGTGTAAGAAATCAATCAATACGGCCTGTAAAGATCGGGACGCACCGGGCACATCCTCTGTTTTAATGATCAGTCGGTGTGAAAACCCTGCTGGATTCATATCCTCTGGGGTACATTGTGTTTTTTGTGACCGTGTCTTGGTTAAACTTATGTGAAATGCAATGCGATGGGTGAATGCCGTGCATTCGGCTCTTTTCACAGGAGCGGGGCGGGCTTTAGTGCGCTCTTGTGCTCTCGACTGCTGGGTCTTGGACACGCAGTCGCACACAAGGTAATTCTTCACTCGGGGCGCCATCGACTTAAAGCCCCCAGCGAAAGGAATGCGTACATTTTCCAAAAGTATTTACATACAGGCTACTCTACAGATCCATGTGTTCAATTGTGTGAAAGCCCTTTTGCGGTAGAGGAGCTCAGAGTCTGTCGCGGAGTGAACACTGCACCGCGAAAACGGGACGATGGCATTCAAAGGCAATAATTTACGAACCACAGCGGTCAAATTGCGACATCTGTGTGAGTCGTGTGCGTGTGACACGTTCCGCCTACAATTAGTACTCAGTCATGTCAACAATCACCAGTGCGAGGTTTATAGTTGTAGTCAAATAATGAACTTGCATGGTTTTTCTTCCACTGAAGCTTGTTGTTCTCATGACACTAAGCCAACATTAGGACACATGTAGGTTTGTTTAATTATTCCCAAAATAAAGATTATGTAATTATCTTATCATAAAATCATCACTTGCGGTAAAAAAGTTCAATGATATAGAAATAATACTAGATTCTGTTTTGCAGGCTGACACATCTGTGGCAATGGACACAGACAGTAATGCAGATGAGGAGGGGGCTGATGAGAGCCGGGATGGTCAGGACCAACCCTCTCCTGGCCGCACCGATGAAGATGCCTCTGTGCACTGTTCCACTGTGCGAGCTGTCTCTGCGCCTTGCTCCCCCTCTGGCACCCGGCCTGGCTCCGGCCCCGGCTGCAGCCCTGCCCTGGGTCTGGACTGTGTCTCTTTCCAGAAGGTTGGTGAGAGGCCCAGCTCCTTGCCCCCATCCAGCCCCAGGGCCCTCACACACAATGACTGGGCCTATCATTCTGCTGTCTGCCCAGTGGAGCGCCAGCACCCAGGAATGCAGAGAGACAAAGGTATTCACCCTGCTAGACACAGTCCAATATGGAGCCCTGAAATATTGTTGCATCTGCAAGCTCTATGTTTACTTTGCAATGGGGATGAAGAAGGGATGGGAGCTGGGTGGTAGGATGATTGACATGGTTGATGATGGCGGAAATGCCTTATTTGATGACCACTTGTGGAGAAAATAACACATTTCCCTGGCTAATTGCACTAAAGTTTGGCAACTGTGACAAAAAAATGAAATGATGATACTTCCCTAAAATTCAATTCAATTCAATTCAATTTATTTTGTATAGCGTCAACTCATAACAAGTGTTATCTCAAGACACTTTACAAAAAGCAGGTAAAAGACCTTACTTATTGCTATGCTACAAAGACCCGGCCTATCCATCATGAACACTTTAGCAAAGCAGCAAAAGTTACAGTGGTAAGAAAAAACTGCCTTATTAAAAGGCAGAAATCTTCGGCCGGATCCCCGGCTCATGATTATGATTGAAAAATCATAATATATGTGATTAAATGGCCAATGCATTTTTTTTATACGCTGCAGCCCTAATCTAATGCACATGGTTTACTCTGTATTAGCAGCAGCCACAAAGCCAGCAGTCCTGTCTGTAACTACCAGCCCCATTGCTTTAAAGAACAATGTGAAGAAGGAAGAAGGAGGCAAGGCAGAGGACAGTGGCATTTCAGCTGACCAGTTGGTACCAGACTATGCAGCAGGGCTGGTAAGTGACCTCACATACTTTTGTGTCAATCACCATCACCTGTATGTCTTCTGCTTTTTGTCCCCCTTTTCATACCTGACATATTGTTTTGTTTCATTCAATTTTGTTTGGCCAGCAGGACGAGACAAAGATTGTATCTGATGGAAGACCACAGCCGCTGTCTTTGCCATCTGACAAATGTGAGTAGCAAAGTGTCTCATTGTTTGTTTTTTAAAGCTGCTGTGAAGCCGGCCGCTGCTTTGCTGCGAATTAATTGATCATTTGGTTACTCTCTCACGTAAAAGATGTTGTTTTTTTTATAAGGACAAGTGTTAGTGAATTATAAATGTATTTATTTTAATGCATTTGTATATTTTGACAGGGACAGTGTACAGCCAATTAGCTGTACCAGAGTTAGCTACAAGCTAATTAACATCTGTAGTCTCTGGGCAGGAGACAGAGACAACATCTCTGTTAAGAATGACAGCTTATGTTCAAAATACCATACATACTATGTTTTGCCCCGAGGCAAGATTTTAAGAGTGCCCCACAAACTTCTTGCTGCTGTTTTGCATCCAGGTGGTGCTCCTTCAACTGTTAAAGGCGACACGGAAAAAACATGCTGCGCCTTTGCAATACGGCACTATTAACAGCAGTGCTTGTAGAAGTGGAAATGCAGAGTCTTGATTCATTCAGAAGTTGATGCATCGTGATTTCTTGTCAAGAAAAATCATGTAACCACATTCCCCAGTAAAAGAAAAAACATGCAGCTGACTAGATGCCGTTGACCGTCTCAGAGAGCCATGATTCTGTTCTCGTCAGAGGTTTCAGTGTGATGTTTTCGTTTGTCATAAAACACAAACAGCAGTTTTCTGTGTTTTCAATGGATTGCCCTCAGGATTTTTCTTCATTGAAACAGAATATGACCTCCAGGTTTTTAACTCAAGACAAGTGGTTATAGATTTCTCTCTTTAGTGAGACATTACCAAGAGACCTCTGAGCTATTATTCTCCCGTGGCATGGGAGGAATAAACACCACTTTGTATAGCACTTGTGCTGGGCCTTGATATGGTTTAAGTTAAGGGAGCAGATCCCAAAAAGAATCTGGAGTCTCTTCCCTGTCATGTGTCACATGTATATGACGGCAGCCCTGGCAGCATCCTGGTGCTGTGTAGTGAAGGGTGCTGTATCAACACCTCATCCACTGTGCCCTCACTGTACTGAACCGTGAACAGACTCTAATAGAAAACATACTGTACTGTGACTGTAGAGGCCACAGGCTCTTCTGCTAGTAGCAAGTAAAAGGCATCACCTGAATTTAATCATCAATCTGTTGAAATGTGTTCAACATCAAAACACTAAATGTAAAGAATGAGATTTATATCTATAAAAAAGTGTCTTTATATTTAATTTTTCACGTTGATGCAGGATGGTCAGAACAACCATTGCTCTCATATGAAACCCCATCTTCTACCCTGCAGTCACTGTCACTCACTTGAACTGAACACACCTTTCATGGCCCATTTTATGTGAGATACCAATGTTGAAGCACCTCATTGTTTTTCTTCTGAGTCCAAAAGGTAGATAAACAGTCTCTGTTTGTTGCATTATGTGTATGAGAAGGAACAAGAGGTATGAAAGTGTCGGTCTGAAATGAAAAAAGTTGTTTTGTTGGCCACTATTGTGTTCTCTTTTTCTCAGAAAAAGTCGATTACTGAAGTGATTTTACCTGCACCGGATTAAACTGTCACTTTAATAGAAACCAGTGTAATAAACTCTGCAAGGGATTAAGTGATCGTTCACTCGTCTTCTCACACACTCTCACACCCGAGACCACATCACCCCCGTCCTTCATAACCTCCACTAACCTGGCTCCCCCCTACCTGTCTGAGCTCCTCCATCGGCACACTCCCACCCGCACTCTCAGGTCTGCTGACGCAAACCTCCTCCGCAAACGCTATATAAGACTAATTTATTTATCATTATAATTTATTATTATTAAAGAAATATTGCATTTTTATTTATAGTTGCAGTTGAAGAGCATTTGTGATAATTTAGCTTCTGTTTTTTTTTCACAGATACGTTTAAGAATAAGATGGATACATCCTCCTTCACAGCAGTCAGCGGAGACGGTCTCCTGAATGGGGCTAAAGGAGACGGAGTGTGAGTACTCTGTTTTTAACGAAGTCATTTACTATTCCTACTGAGATGAAATTGAGCAGATTATTAAGACCACCCCCCCCCTTTTTTTTTTTACAATAGTTTAAAGGTAATGTTTGTAATTTATCAAGCATAAACTGTTTGTCATATTCAATCAAACAGTCCTTACACCCCGACAGCAATAAATAAATCAAGTGTTCTGAAAAAGAAGGAGCCCCAATGTGATGTGGCTTCTCATATCTTGCTAGTTTTCCAGAATTACCAACCCTGCCTCTAATATGCATGTCTCTACTTTAATGTTTCAGTTATTGTCTAGAATAAGAATTTGACATTTTTCTCCCGAACAAGATCCCTTTTTTTTTTTCAAATCATTTCTAAGCTCATTGCTTAAAAAAACAACAACAAAGTGAGACTTGAAAGAAAGTCACTCTGTGTTCATGACGTCTCTGAATTGTCATCTTATCATCCTCCAGCTCTGTGAAGAAGGAGAAGGTTAGCCAGAACTTGTTGCAGTGGACTGTGGCAGATGTGGCCAGTTACTTCACAGCTGCAGGCTTTCCAGAGCAGGCTGTGGCTTTTCGATCACAGGTCAGTGCAGTACCATAAAACTACCACAGAGGGCGCCACCTTTACACTGTAAACAACACAATATTCCATCAATACTCTGAGTTTTCTTTAATATGAATTTAGCATGTTATAGCTAAGTAAACTCTATAAACAGTGAGTATAAGGAGTACCTATTTAAGAAAATAACTGAAGAATACTGAAACTAATGGTAGACGCTTACTGAGCAGAACGTTTTCTCTCTCTCCCCCGTAGGAAATTGATGGGAAGTCCCTTCTCCTAATGCAGCGCAGCGACGTGTTGACTGGTTTGTCCATCCGACTGGGCCCTGCCCTCAAAATCTACGAGCGCCATGTCAAGGTGCTGCAGAGGACCCACTTTCTGGAATGTGAAGACCTCTAAAGCAATGACGCATAATAGAGACAGAGAGACAGACAATGCTGAAATGACTCGAACGTGCATGCAGTGCCCCCTCCCATCTGGATCCTACCACCCCCCTTCATAAACAGACTATGTAGAGGGTGCGTGGAGGGGGAAGGCTGCGGTGGAATTAACTTTTCACTGTGAGAATGACCAGATACTGAAAGACACTCATCCTACCTCTCATTATGGTCTTTGGTATTCAAATGGTTTTCATTTCACCTGTGTGGCTGTTCCATTGCTTTGTCAAAGACAGCAATGTTCCTAGTGTGTTGTAAAACGGAGGACCAATGACTTTTCTGCAAGTGCCAGCCATTGATAAGGAATCTGTTGAATGGGGACCGAGCCTTGCACAAATTGGACCACCGACGGGACTTACATTCCCACAAAGATGTGAATGCATACAGCTGGGAGCAAACTGTGCAGACGTTTTGGGTCCATGAGAAAATGTTGGTTCCCGGTGGCTCTATAATTCCTCCATGCATTCTTGTTTTTGTCTATTACGGTACCATCTATTTTGTCTAGATAGTGTTGTAAGTCACACAGATAAATGTTGAGCACATTTAATGTGCTTTCATCTTTTTCTCAAGTGAGAGAATGAATGAAATGTCATCAAAGTGCTGGTGTCTGCAAAGCTGCATCGAAAGTCACCAGGACTCTGATATTCCTGACTTATCATGTCACCAGAAGCTGCTGATGTTGAATGATGTCTTCAGTGTCTCTGAGATGTAAGCAATATTATCTAATACTACCTGCTGGCAAGGCAATATGGTTCATTTTCCCCTCTTTAAAAAAATCCTATTTAGATTTGACTTTGGTCCAACTTAGTACATTTTAGGGAACATCTGCAGAAAGATGAGACTTTTGAAGCCGAATGGAATTTACATTCACACATAAGCAAAATCAATTAATACACTTGGGAAACAGTTCATATAATAGTGGATATATGATTTTAAAATTGAATACAGCTGCTCAGTGCTTGTTTACAGAGCAGATACCTTGATCATATGCAATATTTTATGTTATCATCCATGTCCAGTGTTTTTTTTTGTGTGTTGATGTTAGTCTCGATTTGGAACATTCCATGATGTAGTCTTTTCTAATGTATCTCTTTTCATTTTTATCTGTAACATTAGAACTTCTTCCAGAGTCACAAATAAAGCCTGTGCCTCCCTGTTCACTCACTTGTTTATTTAAGTCACAGTTAGAGCAACAATGTGCATCCAAACAGTTGTTTCAGTGGGTCAGCGTTACCTCGAGAGGGTGTTAAAGTATGACAAAGTGATGGCCCACGAGAGTCACATTTAAATACTGTAGAAAAAACAACAACCAACTTGAGATAGAAATCCTGCCCTACAGTTGTGTGTCTCCTGATAAACTATGACTGTGAACTTATTTAAGGCATTCAAAATGTTGAAGTATCCAAAATAAACAAAATTGAATCAAAGTTCCGCATTTAAACCAGAGGGTTAGTCTATGCAGAGCTCGGAGAATAACTCCTTATCCAATTTTGGAAGCACCATCAGTTTCTGTCTGCACGACTCTTAAGATAAGTACAAAAACAATAAGTGGGAAACAAATCCTCAATACTCAAAATGCAAAAAAACAAAACAAATGAATACTAGATACATGATACACTGATGGTGAATTCATGACTGAAATAATTTCTCAAACTTTGTCATTGCCTTGTGTTTTTATTTTGTTCAGTTTAGTTTTTTTTTAAGTCTGGGCATGCTGTCTGCAATGTTGTTCTCAAATGTATCATTCCTAAACCCGTATCACAAATACAGTTAACCTATGTAGGAATCTGCATATAATTTGTGACCCAGAAGCCAAAAGTTGTCACCTCCAGGCTGCACACTAGTTTAGCAATGCAGTTTAGCCTCAGTGTGAACCATGAGGAGTAGTGTGCCAACATTGAAAATAATGGTATATTTCAAAAACTAAACAACACTCTTCATCAAACTTGTTAACAAAAGTACCAAGTTTACTTTCCCTCCTCTTGCTCTTTAAAATCACACACAACATAAAAATTAAGACTTTGTTGCATTCACCTCTGAAGGCTTCATCGTCTGTAACAGACGTGCATTCATCAGACTCTCAGAGTAACTGCCGCCCCTTGTTATGGAGTGACATGAAGAAAATGTTACAGGGAGATCATATGACCAAAATCCATCCGTGCAAGTTAACCTTAGCGCACACTTTTCTGACATCCAGAACAATGGAGGGGCCCTGAAAAAAAGGACTCAATCAGCGATAGGGCTGAATATGTGTAACAACTGTTATTTTGACTGTGCCAGGGTCTACAGGATGAAGGGGAGGATGGAGGAGCGCAGGGTGGGATAATCTCTGAACTCCTTCAAGTAGCTGCGGTGTTTGCCTTTGGCCCACACAGTCATCTGGATGAAGGCCACAAGAGTGAAGAAAGCCACAGGCACACACTGGGTCATCACTGTGAAGCCGATCCAGGAGCCCAGCTGTGAACAAGAAGTTTGCAAACACACACACACACACACAACCACATGCACACACACACACACACACACACACACACAAACACACACACACAACCACATGCACACACACAGGGCATTGAGATCATAGTACATCTGCAGAACAAAACCAGTAGATGGCAGTAATAATGCATCCAATGCAAGGGACAAACAGAGGTACTATAGAGTATCACTTTCTTTTGTAACCTAGACAGAAACACACAGCAGTTACTTAAATCATTTTTTTAATGTTTATTTTTGGGGCTTTTTATGCTGTTGTTTAGAGACAGGACACTGGATAGAGTCAGAAATCAGAGAGAGAGAGAGAGAGAGAGAGTGGGGAACGACATGCAGGAAAGGAGACACATGGTCAGAATCAAACCCGGGGCCATCTGCTTGGAGAACTATGGCTCCGTACATGGGGTGCGCACACTAACCGCTAGACAACCAGTGCCCTGAAACCTTCAGTATTTTTCTAAATAAAACACACAATAACTAATAATAAGAAATATATTCTTACCTACAGATTCTTATTCTGAGACAGAACTCACGGATATATCTTATTTCAGACTGATACAGACTTCATCTGTGGACTTTTCCAAACTAAAAACACATACAGGAAAGGGTTTTCTTCTTTGTTCTCTAACAAACCTTCCTACTTAATATGTAATGGAGGGATAATAACAAAAAGAAAGGATTAGAAAACTAACTGGCTGGGTGATCCCGTCTTTATTGGACTATGTAAGCCTGCTGACGCTTCAGAGAAACTTTGGAATACATTTTTGCACAGATTCAGGATTGTGAATTTCATACCCTTATATTAACGAGGAATTTCTAAATGTCCAGTATGAGGACTGAAAACTGCTTAAGTTTCATATGGATAGCTGTAAATCTAATGGTAACCTCATTAGAGGTTACCATTAGATTTACAGCTATTTGCATGCAAACTGTTTTTATGACTGGCTAATGAACATTTGATGAAATATCTGTGTGGATGTCAGAGCTGACTTTGGAGCCCAGACATTTTTCAAACATATCCTTGTATTGGTTTCATAAAGACAGACACAATAGCAACTATGATCATTTGTTCCACTTACCTCATACGTGTAGTTTGGACAAGAGACAAGCCAAAAAATCCAAGTGAAGGGGTTCTTAGTTGGGTAGGGAATCCTCTTTGATTTTGAACCTAAGAAGATGCGTGAACACACACACACACAAACATGTTATTACAATTATTTAAAATGCTTATTAACATAATATGCATACTATTAAAATGCTCACCTGGTAGTTTGAGGTTACGAAGAGCCACATGTATGGAGAAATTCCCTACTTGACAGAACTGCAGAAATAAAGACACCCAAAGACAAATGAATACGTTAATACATTTTATTTGAATTTAAGTCAAGAAACAAACTACTTAAAATTATCTGGAACTTACCAAGAAAATGTACAGCCCTGTATTCACCTGCTGCTGCCCGTAATCTGTTGAGGAGTCACAGAAAAAAAATGGATAAGGAAGGGGGTGGTGAACTCTGACTGATGAGTTAAAGGGAGAACTGCAGCGCTCTGCACTTACAGGCTGTAGTGTAGAGAGGGTGGTTGATGTAGTATGCCATCCATGCTGCAGTGGCCCAGTAATAGCCACAGTTCTGGAATAGAAGGAGGGACAATAGTAAGTCAAACAGTCAAAGTATGGTATATGTTGAACGACCCATTCAAATTATGCAGCTCACTCACCTTAAATATGTTTCTGAGAGGCATGGTCCCATGGGAGATACGATGAACAAAAAGTGTCTCCAGGACCCTCTTGATGTAATGGAAGGAGTGACACATACACGCCAAGCTGCAGAAGGAAGAAATCAACTCTCATATTAAGCTGTGTTTCATAAATTTGCCCCTGCTGCAGTCAATTACACTTGGCCCTGCTTCAATGTCTACAGCGGAATACGCTTCTGGAATGTTTTTCATGCTTTGTGTGAGTATGTTTTATATCCCGGGCTCGCTCTCTTGGCTCTCTGCAGCATCGTGTAAAACATGTGAAGCTGATACTAACTGTACAACCCAGTGCTTGCTGCTGGTGAAGTCATATTTTGGAGAGTAAATGAAGGGAAGGCGGAAGTAGAACATTAAGTAGATGATCAGTGGGCCAACACACTCTGACAGGAACACCTGAAATGAGCACAGAAAACAAACAGGATTTAAATGTATTTTTCTTCATTTGAAGTCAGAAGCGTGAGAAGAAAATACAAGCACAGAACACAGCAGTCATGAAAGAGAATATGAAAATAGTGACATTTAACAGCAGTACATAATTACTTCTCTAATAACAATGCAGTAATCATTACGATTCAAGTGTTTTCTCTCTGTTAGGTGGACACTCCTCCATCTACCGAAGGGAAAACATGCAACTGACACCAGACTGGCTCTCCAGCTACGCCGCCTCAGCACTCACAACCATTTAGTGTAACAATAATAGTATTCAACATGTGCCCATGAAGAGAATAGGACACCTAGACAGCTTGTAATACCAGCTTTCCACAGATGATATGAGCAAGTGATATAGCACAGCTGACAGTGAAATGGACCCCTGAATCAGCACCTTCAGCAGAGGCCTGGCTCAGCATGCCTGACCAACAGCTACTGCTGGTGGTCTCTGCTGGGGCACCTCATGCCCCTCTGCCCTCAGTGACATTAGTCTGAAGACAAGCACCATGCTGTCGGGGTTGGGCCAGGGTTGGTAAGGACAGAGAATGTACAGAGCAGGTCGGCAAGTGTGAGTAAAGAGGCAAAGTGAGAGGCAATTGGTCAGGGGGGATAAACACCTTTGAGAGAAATGAGGTCATGAGATTAGATGTCCTAGGACAAAGGACAGGCGGTGCAGAGAAAAATGGACCACAGCGAATCACCTCTGTCTGTCACTGTGGGTTGATATTTACATTCATTGCTTGGGTATGACACTTTCAATATGTATCTAAAGTATGGGACAATTTTAAGACAATTCCAGACGTTTTGCTTGTTTAGGACAATGAAGTACAAATCCTTTGTTATTATAAAAGCAGGCCTAATTGTGTTCGTTTGATTTTACAGCTGAATGATACTCAAAAGGAGAAAGAAAAAGGGCCATGTGAATAAGAAATATATTTTTTAGAAACTAAAAAATATTGATTATGGGGCGCAGATGGTCTAGTGGTTTGATTGCGCCTCATGTTCAGGGGCAAGAGTCCTCAAAGCGGGTGGCCCGGGTTCAAGTCTGACCTGTGGCTCCTTTCGTGTATGTCATTCCCCACTCTCTCTCTCCCTGGTTTCACTCTCTATCCCCTTAAAAAAAAAGGCAAAAAAGCCCAAAATAAATCTTAAAGCCCACAAGGCCTTGTCCCTGTAGCAGAAGCCTGGCTCTCGAGAAGACGGAGCTCCCCCAACCTACAGCAAAGTGATCAGGGACTACGACCACCCAACGTCCTTGACTTCCAGCCACAACCACCGGACTGTGTCGTCCCCACAACCACCGCCGTCCTCATTCACGCATGGTCTGCTCCGACCTCCACCTCAGCGGCAAGGAAGTGTGGACAACAGGAGGAATACAAAGGAGAAATCCTTCCTACATATTATCTCATTTTTCATTTGTAACATAACAAAGAGTAAAGTCTTTTACCTGCTCTTTTGATATATTAAATAACAAAGAGTGAGGTCTATTACCTAGTTTTTGTAAAGCGTCTTGAGATAACATTATGAATTGGCTCTAGACTCCAACCTTGGTGAGATAATCTGTATTGCTTCACAAAGGAAAGTTGTCCATTGAGACCTATTCTAAATGCATGTTGTAAAGAGTACTTTGGATAATACTAACTGTAACCTTAGTGCATGCATGACTTCATATCGTTCTAAATATTGTGTGTCTGTGCACATGTTGACTCACGGTTCCCCATGTGAGCTGGGGTCCTAGGTCACTGAAGTAAAAATGGGCTGTGGTTCCCACAGGAAGCGTCTGCAGTACTTCTTCATCCCTTAGACACTTGGCCTCTAAAAAACAATCCAGTTCAAAACAATCAGCCGAGATAAGATAAGAAATAAAGAAAGCACTTCATCACAACACCTGTCAGTCAAATGAGTTCAGTAAAAAGAAAATAAAGCACACGTACTTGGGTCCAAACGCAGGGACTGTCTGGCTGGATACCACTTTGGATCTGTTGAGACAGAGAAGAACTTCACTCTTTGAAAACATGTGAGCGGATTTTTAGAAAATCAGAATAGTGAAATCATTTGTAAAACTCACTCACATGATTTTTGAAATAAAGCTTTAATATCCAACACAGTGGCAGTCGGCTCCACCTGCAATCAATGTAAAACCACGATTAAGATATAAAAGTACGAGTATCATTATGGTGCAGGCTGCCACAACTGACATCTCTTTTTACTTGAGGCATTTTCACGTCTTCTGGAATTTGTCAGACTTGCATTTTGTTCACTATACTTGCTCACACAATCACGTGTGTCTGTCTGCCTGCCAGTTGGCCCCGTGCAGCACTGGCATGTACTCTAGCTGGAATAGAAAATGCCTGCCAGATGAAAAGGGAATTCTAACTTCCTAACTGCAACCTTCGTTCAGTAGAGAGGTAATGGCTGACCCTGAAATTTTAACAGACTTCACCGCAGCTAGGTCATTTGTTGAGCTACTTTTAGAACAGACGTAAGACGTTTAGAGCGTCAAACTTTCAAATCAATGCAATTGGAGGTGATAAACTGTAGTAATTCATATCATCTATGGCATGCTACCAATTCTTGACGCTCTTTTCTTATAAGACTTAAACATACTGTATGTGACGGCATCAAAGTAAGAACAGTCAGTCTTCTCAAAATCATTATGGTCAATATAAAAGGTGAGTGTAATCAGAAACCTTCAATCATCATGACACTCACCTTGTCCAATAGCAGCAGTTTCTCTTTAGTCTTTAAGTCCACAATCTCCACCTCAAAATAAACAATCCTTTTGGCCTTTTTGGGAGGTTTTGGCTTTGGCCTTGGTGCAGACTTCTTCTCAGCATCTGATCCATTGACACTCTTTGCCTCTAAGGCGAGTACATCCATGTTGTTGTTTGATCTCAAACCTCAGTACCCTGGTGAAATAATCTGTGATATGTCCAGTGACTCTGGTTGTCCTCTGCTGGTATGGAAAGCAACCCCCTGCTCACCCTCTGCACAACTGTCAGTCCAACTCAAGCGTGTCGTCTCCCGTGTCTTGGGGACTCTCCGAATAGCCCTCCACCTCCAGGAGAAGAGTGACTGAAATAAGTTAGATCATAAACACATTTTTCCCCCCTGGTGGAGTATGTGTGTGAGAGAAGGAGGAAATGAAGGGAGGAGAAGTGGAAGGAGTGTATGCCTTGGAAATATAAAGTGGACATCCTTCTTACCTGAGTGGAAGCCTCTTCATGATCCACAGCCCCCCTTCATGCAACGAAACGCACTGAAGACGAAACCGGAGAGCACCAAGACATAATCCACAGCGCACCATTTGCAAGGCTAAATATAAGTTGCCTGATTTGCTCTGCACCAGCTTGGTAACCTTGGGCAGCCACATGCAGCCCTGCAGTGACAAATGCCAATGTGCTCTCATTAGACCTACAAGACAGAAAACATCTTCTGTATGCTCTGCTTCTAGCTTTGTTTCACAGTGACGGGCCCCACTAAAAGCCTGATCCACGGGATGAAAGTTCTCCACATGCCAACACAACACCCCTCCCCCTGTGCCCAAGTGTTGCTGGTATATCTTTTCTTCCTGACCTCCAGAAAACGACAAACATGTTAACTTCAGGGCCTGTGTGGTTCAATGTTTGTCTTCTCAAAGAACAACATGGTTTCTAAAATACTTCAAGAAGGTTGGCAGTGGGAGAAGGGTGGAAAAAAAGAAAATGCTGATTTGGAGAAGATCAAAGATGCCTTTCATCACACAGGGTCAACAACTCATCGCGCATAGCCAACTGCATATCTGTGTTCTGTGGTCTATTTATAGTCAGAAGGAGCTGTCCAAGCCAGCAGCACATAGCGGTATCACTGTTTGCATTCCAAGATCAGTTTTGCGTTTTGTATTTGAAGATAAACACAATGTAACACAATGCCTTTTTTTTTTTTAAATACTGCTGATCAGAAATAAATGTGAAAAAAATCTAGATTATAGGCCAGACATTGGCCTAGTTCTTTTTGAAAGGTGGTCACACGCAGATATGACACGAGAGGTATCCTGTAACATGGTACTCCATGGATCACTGATCTCTAGAGTGTCCTGGTTAGAGGAACAGTCATTTTTACACCCTAGAGCAGTGGTTCTCAACTAGTGTAGCCCCAGAACTCACCACCACCTCCCTAATGAGAAATCAGAAAATCACAAATGAGAAAACTATCTTTTGTAGCCAGCTACACACATCATAATTTGAAATTGTGGTGTGAATTTTGAAAATCAAAGTCATAAAGGTCTGAATACACTTTTTTTTCTAATATCTATTTCTTATAAATATAATTTTCATAAACAACTAGAATAAATACATGAATGTTAAAAGTACCGCATGGAAGTAAATCCTACTGTATACAAACATTACCTATGGGCAGCAAACGCACCAAGAAGTGGACACACCGCGCATGCGTGCTAACTAAATATTACGCATAAGGCCGATGACCGATCTAAAATGCATGTAATGAGTTGTAAAAATCCCATTAAGTGATTCAATGTTTAAAAAAGCTGCCGAAAAGTTCATATTATCTAGTTTGATTTTCTTTTAAACACAGATACTGTCACCTCTTGATATACGGTATTCTTCGACTCAAGCGAAACCGGAAGTCGTTGGGAGTGAACCCTCTTGGCTCGATAATGTGATGACGATGACCCACATCAGCAGCACCAGCTTCTTCCAGAAGTTTCCTCGCAGGGTTTTCAGCTCGGCGGCGACACACAGACGCCCATGTATGACCATGGTGTTCAATGTTGTGTGGTTTAAGTGAAGTTATAGTATTTCTCGTCGTCTACTGGAATAGTAAAACGTTGTCATCTGTGTGGGACAGTTCAGCTTACCTTGACAGTTAGCCAGCTAGCTACATTCCGCAGCGGTGACAGCTGCGGCGGAGGAGCCTGTGAACCTGGCCCACTCAGCGGACATGCTGGATGTGTAATGAACTAACCCTGAAGATGTTGTTTATGAAGTTTTAAAGGGGCTGACCGGTCATTGTTATGGGTAAGGATTACTACAAAGTGCTCGGGATAGCAAGAGGTGCTTCCGAAGAAGAGATCAAAAAGGCGTACAGAAAACAGGCCTTGCGTTATCACCCGGACAAAAACAAGTCTCCTGGAGCAGAGGATAAATTCAAGGAGATTGCTGAAGCCTATGATGTCCTCAGTGATGCCAAGAAAAAGGACATTTATGATCGCTTTGGAGAAGAAGGTAATGGAACAACTCCACCCTCCCAACCTCCATACTTTTTATTTATTTTTCTAGTTTTTTCAAAAACTTTTCATACAACTGAGGATGTTTCTGAAATATTTTGCAAGCATAGAGATCCTCTCTCCGGCTCTGTTAGATGCTTTTGGTTGATTAATCCAACCCTCTTCTTTCAGTAGCTAGACAATAAAGGTGTGTGTGTGTGTGGTGTGTGTGGTGTGTGTGATATGGATGGAGAACTTGCTAGAAACTGCGAGTTCTTTCCTGTCCTGTAAATTCAGTCCTGACCTCAAAGTGGACAATCTGACTCCGTGAGCCTGAAATGTGACAGTTTGTATAATTACAAGATGCATGGACAGAGACAGGCGTGTGTGTCCTTAAGGGAGTTAAAAAAGCCAAAGTTGAAAACAGATTGCATTGATAAGAGCATTATGAGAACTAGCAGACAGTTCTATTTCCTACTTGACTGTTATATTCTCACAGGAGACTTTATTTCATTTATTCAGACATGGGTACATGTGTGGTAAAGTGAACAGATGCTATGCTAATAAACAAGAAAAAAAAAAGCTATTTAGAATTGATTTATGACAAAACAAAAAATAATTAATGTAAGGCTTTTAATTAAATCAAAGTTCGTACTAAAGGGTAATAATGTATTTGGGTGAAATACATGAGCTTCATTCATTGTTTGTTTACATGATCTGTTCGCCTGCTAAAGTCCAACTGAAACAGGATATTTAAATATCTGTATTGATATTTAAAAATGATTCAATCCTACATTTTCTTCTTTTTCCCATGTTGTGATATATTCATCGATTGAAGTCTGTAATAACCAACAACCGGCCAATAATGATTTCCACTCATGAATATGTTATCTTTGGGTTATCTGTGTTCTTCTTAGGACTGAAGGGCTCTTCTGGTGGCGGAGGAGGTGGAGGAGGATCAAGCGGCCACAGCTACAACTACACCTTCCATGGAGACCCTCATGCAATGTTCGCCGAGTTCTTCGGCGGCCGCAGCCCTTTCGATCACTTCTTCTCTCAGAACGGAGAGGATGAAATGGACATCAATGACCCTTTTGCACCATTTGGCATGGGACGAATGGGCGGCATGGGCGGCTTTCCCAGATCCTTCAAATCTCACCCAGGAGGCCCTCACAGAGCGCACGAGAAGAAGAAGGACCCGCCTGTTGTCCATGAGCTGAAGGTGAGCCTTGAGGAGGTTTTCTCAGGATGCACCAAAAAGATGAAGATATCCAGAAAGAGAATGAACCAGATGGCTGCACCGTGCGAAGTGAAGACAAGATTTTAACTGTCGACATCAAGCGCGGCTGGAAGGAGGGAACAAAAATCACTTTTCCCAAGGAGGGGGATGAAACTCCGACCAACATTCCTGCAGATGTGGTGTTTGTCGTCAAAGATAAACCCCACCCGGTGTTCAAAAGAGAGGGCTCAGATATCATTTATCCTGCTAAAATCTCCCTCAGAGATGTAAGTAATCGATAAAGTTAGAAACTATGAATATTAAAAACTCAGTATTAGGCATCTGATTCACTCCCCCCCCCATCCTTTCTCTCTGTCTCCCTGCAGGCATTGTGTGGATGCACGGTCAACGCCCCGACGCTGGATGGCCGGACCATCACTGTGACCTCCAGAGACGTTGTCAAACCTGGAACCAAAAAGCGTATCGCTGGCGAGGGCTCCCTCTGTCCAAGTGCCCCGAGAGGAGAGGAGACATGATCCTGGACTTCACCGTGAAATTTCCAGACAGACTTGGCCAAAACACACGAGACGCACTCAAGCAGATCCTCCCGCCCTGACTTGAAGCGAGGAAAAGCTTGCTCTGAAAAAGATGTGACAAGTTAACATTTCCAGTCCTGAACATTTGAAGCCTGTACGAATCAGGCTAAGGGAAGATTAATTCCAGCTGCCTGAACACCAAATCCGTATTACTTCCTAGTAACTTGTCAGTTTAATGACTGCGTTCAGACAGAAGAGCTGACTTTACTTTGATTTGTGCGATCACTTGAGGTTGAGTAACAGTATTAAGTAACAGTCTGCCACATTGACAGACCAGATCAGGAACATTTTTTAAAGTAAATATCTAAGCAGTGATGTGGCACCAAGACATTGACATTGTAGAAAGCTGAGTGTTTTTGTTTGAAGTTAAGTTGCAAGTTTTCATATAGCTAATGAGTAATACATTTGTGTGGGTGCTTTAAGGTAGAACACAGCCAGCTTAGTAACAATACCTCAGGTGCAGTGGTGCAGACTTTGACGTAGCAACGGGCACGTTTTTTGAATGATGTAAGTGAAGCTTAAATACAGGGAGGTGGTAATTATGGATTGTTTAATGAGGAGGTTATGATCTGATGCATTCTTTCAGCAGGTATATGGACACACTGACTGAAGTGCATCACTAAGATGGAGATGTAAACTCTGGAAAAAAAAAACACATCTGCAGAAAATGCACTAAGTGAAGGTGAGGGACTCGACTTTATCCTGGAAGCATTCCTGTTTTTTTTTGTTTGTATTCAGTTTGTTTTTTAAAGGAGTCTCCTCCAATCATATCACAGCTAACTTTGGCTACATGTAGGAAAGTCTACAGAGGTGGAACTCATTGGCAAAAGTGCAATCTCCCCAAAGCGGTCTTTAGCCCTTTTTCAGGCTGCTTCCCCCCCCCCCTGCAAAAATGTCATATTAAGCTCAGCCATCATCCCGTCTTTGGACATTCATTGATTCCGCAACGGTGTGATATTCTTGTCCCACTCTGTGAATCCTCATTGCGTTTCGGTGTTGCAGAAGCACTCACCCGCTGAAACCGTCTCACGACAGAGGCGTTACAGAGGGAGGATCACTTCAGACTCACAGGGGCGTTATTATCGCTGCTCCAAACGGCAGTCTGCATAGGGCTTGTGATGACATTTCTCTTCATGTCTGTAAACAAATTTCTCCATATGAATGCCGACACAGTTTTGTGTTACACCTGCTGTTAAGAGTCCATTTGCTGATACAGTTGTTAACAATGACCAGCGCTTTAGAGAATACTGGTGTATCCATCAAACTGTTACCGACAGCTTCCAGGATCTGGCACCATTTATACTCTGAGTATGTCGATGTCACTTCAGTGTTTCAGCTTAGTACACTCAGTCACAGCAGGCCATCGTTTACATGAGCCCATGATCCAACAAACTCTCAAGAATATTCACCAAACTCTAAATAATAATGGTGCACAGGCCTCCATCTCATCTCAAGATTTGGAGATAGAGACTGCATGCTGCAGGGAAGGATTATACACATTTTAAATCTAGGAAATAACTCAGCTCAGTTCATCTGAGTTTAAGGAGACAGTTTCTTATCAGGAGGGGAAATAAGTCAGTTGTCTTTTTTTCTGTTTAAGATAGCACACCTTCAAAAATGTTTACTTGTTGAGCTGGCAGTGCAGAGCCTATCCCATGTGAAAAATGTTTGCACAAAGAAGAGCTGTGCCAAATAGTTGTCCCTATTTAATTATGTCTGTGTGTGTGTCCACAAGTATGTCGAGAGCTTGTTTTTTCCTGTCATGTGTGACTGAATCACTATGAAAACATTTACTCTTTTAAGCTAAGCAACGTTCAGAAGGTTGAGTATGATATTTGTGTCTGTTTGTCTTCCTATTTAATCTAAAGCCAGTGCGTTTACGTCTTTCTTTTAATTCTGTTTTTGAACCTTGGGTCATCAGTCTTGCATGAAATATTGCTAAAGGCTGAGGTGTGAAAATACCTTTGAGCCCCCGATGTAAATGTCTGCAGAAGATATTTCTTATCCCTCACAGCATTTAGCTCCAAGATGTTCATCACCTAGACGTATATTTAGTTTCATATTTCAGTGGGGATAAAAAAGTCACTGTTCGACCTGTTTGTGAAGCTGTGCACCTTTGACTGTGGTGAGGATTGAAGTTTGTGAAGCAGTTCATTTTTCTTTTTGTGTGTGTGTTGATGTGACTGTCACAACGTCATGGCAGTGTTTACTACATCCTGCTCCTGCTGGAGTTTTTAAGTTACACAAACATGTGATTAACATGAATGTAGAGATGTGTAATCTCTGTTATGTGTCCTTTTTTTTTTTTTTAAAGGATGCTTGCTGGTTTTTCCTTTTTAAGGGAAAGATGCGTCAGCATCAGTGTGTGTTACCTCTTAATCATGTTTAAAAATTCAAAGGTTGGGGTTTAAGAATATATCATTTGTAACAGCAAAACTTTTATGAATTCATAATGTGAGGACATTTTTTAATGGATCTTTCCTATGCTGTGTTGATTTGCATTTGAACATTAAAAAAACTGGCTGTTTAATCATTTCTCGCCTAGATGTCGGTTACTAAAAGATTTGATCGATTCAAATGTTTTCCTCAAGTTTCTCTTTGAAAAAATACTTTAACACTTTCCTCTTTATGTTACATTTTATTATGAACATTTTGTAAAGCTGTAGTCGATAATTTCTTAGCAAAGGATTAATACACAACAAAGTCATTTTACCCAGTAGGAAACAAAGTAGCTCATTGGTCAGTTGTTTTCTTTCACACTGTAAAAAAAGTAACTACACTTGCAGAAATTAAGGACAGTGAAGATTGAAACATCTTTTATTTTTTTAAGGAAAGAAGCATTTCATTAATGTTTCACATCTTGCTGTAGTGGTTTAATAGTTCCCTAGTTTAGTAATCAATATAGAAATATACAGTATATATTTTTATTGTTTATTTTTTTATTTTCCTTATTAACTTATAATGTAAAGGTCATTTTTATGCTCGCTATGTCATGTTCTTTTGCATTTCCACATTAAAGAGACCCCCATTCTATCAATCATTCTGCTAATGTTTAAGTCTTTGAATTCACTTTCAAATTCAAAGCTTTTTTGTACCCAAACACTTGCAATGCTTCCTCCTGCTTTTATTTTGTTTCTACAACGATATCACTTCCGCTGCATATTCCAGATAACAACCATAGACTGTAAATACTAACAACTAATGAAAACCTTCATATTTGACTAGTTGTAGTTTAAATAGTCATGTTCATACAGTGAAACCTCACGGCCAGGGTACACAACACGATGTTTAGCTACCTATGAACAATTATATTTTTAGCAGCGCAACGTTTACGACATTGTTTCCTTTTTTCTAGATCCTTACTTGTGTTGTTCTTACTGTCTGATGTGCGTCACTTTGAGTAAAAGCGTCTGCTAAGTGAATTGTAGATTGTAGAACTTATTACATACTTACAATACTATTACTGGGCAAATACTGCAAGTATCAAGTCTCTTAACACATTTTACAGTGAAATCTTTGCTTTTTACGCCCTCTAGTGGCCACAGTGAGAAACTAAAAGATAATGATCGCCAAGTCAGATACAATAGTAAACGACACAACTTCCGGTTAACACCTTCAACTTAAAACGTTTACATTCCACATAAAAGTAGATGTGCGACCAGATAGCAAAAAAATTACTCGCAAAAAAAGGGAAACATACACGTTAAATACATTTAAAGACGCGCTCTCACGAAAATAAGGTTATACAACACACGCCGATAATCCTGTTACTTTCCTTTTTTATCCTTTTGCGAAGCACGAAATATATTTCGTACAACCATTGTTTCAGGGGCAAATACGATTTACGAAGGCACTTGAATGCGTCATTGTTACTCCCCTGCTGGGCTCGCAGAAAGCTAAATTTACAGCCACATACCGACACTCAGCTACTCATTAAGTCATACAACCAGCTCTAGCGCAGTAAACCTGTACGGAGCGCAGGAGAAAAGATACTGGACTTCCTCTGCAAGTGTCACGATATTTAGTGAACTCACAGCTCCGTTTAGTAAGCTACGCTAGCAGGCAGAGCTAACGACAGTTGGCTAAAACTCCTGCTGCTCCGGTAAGAATGACTTGGCCTGCCATGTTTACTCCGTTCTTTTCCTTTAGCGACCCCATTTAAGCTAGCGAGCTAAATTCAGCTAATCAAGTCACACTGTCCTGCGCTGAATAGGGTTGACAGTTACTTCTTTAACACAGTGGTAGCTACATGCTAAATTGTTAGCTGCCTGAGATTTGTCAGTGTGTGTGTGCGTGTGCGTGTGCGTGTGCGTGTGTGTGTGTGTGTGTGTGTGTTGTTATGTTTGACACGAATAAGAAATTGTGCCTCGCAGCTAACATGAGCTCTATCTGCTTTCTTAACCGTCCAAGCTAAGGGAGACAAGAAGAGATATTCTGGTCATTATTTTAGCGACTGTTTAAAGGCGATATAGTCAAAATATAAATGTCACTGGCTTGGTGAAATGATAATCGAAGTGGTTTGTCTCTGTTCCACAGCTGAAGACAAACCTGAGCTCTGCTGGACTTGACAGATCCAGCTATGTGAGCTGCTCTGATGTGTGGACTTACATCTTACAGCTCCTGGTTGAGACAGCTTCCAAGCTGGTCTGGAGGACTTTACACTGACATAAACATCAGACAGACCTGCAGCTGATTTGGCTGAAAAAGGTGTATGCTGGCCTGGAGTATAGTGTGTGACTCCCCAAAGAAACCTCCTCTCCTCTCCTCCCTCTCCTCCCCCTGCAGCACTACTATGCCTCTGGGTTTGGGAAGAAGGAAGAAGGCCTCTCCGTTAGTGGAGAATGAGGAAGCGGAGCCTATCCGTGCAGGTCTCAACGTGCCGGGTATGGATGGTCTCGATGGAGGCGTCATCGGGCTGGGAGAAGGTGCCACCTCTGAAGGTCTGCCTCCTCCACACAGCAGCATGCGACCTCGTCTCATCTTCCACACTCAGCTCGCTCACGGCAGCCCCACAGGCCGTATTGAGGGCTTCAGTAATGTGAGGGAGCTCTATGCTAAGATTGGAGAGGCCTTTGGGATACCAGCATCTGAGGTGAGTACAGCTTGTGATGAGGGTGAGCTTCAATGCAGGGGGGGCTCAAGTTTATAAGAGGAGAAAAAACATTGAGGTAAATCTTATGTGTTTCTGTTATTTGCCTTGCACAGGTCATGTTTTGCACTTTGAACACTCACAAGGTGGACATGGATAAACTATTGGGAGGTCAGATCGGTCTTGAAGACTTTATTTTTGCCCACATTAAAGGACAACGAAAGGAAATTGAGGTGTACAAAGGAGAGGATGCATTAGGGTTGACGATCACTGATAATGGAGCTGGCTATGCGTTCATCAAGGTGAGGAATTTCGATAATAGCCAATAAAATAGATTTCTTTTGAATGAAGGATCCGGGAAATGCATTACCTTAGTCTATATTGGGGGGGATCTTTGCTGCATGGAATAAGAAGCATGGGCAGATCAAATGTGTGTTCGATTAGCTATTTGAGTTTTGTTGCCTTCAGAGAATTCGAGAGGGAAGCATCATCCACCAGATCCAGGTCATCAACGTGGGCGATATGATCGAATCGATCAACGGCCATCGCCTGATCGGGTGTCGACACTACGAGGTGGCCAAGATGCTGAAGGAGCTGCCCAAAGGAAAGGAGTTCACCATCAAGCTTACGGAGCCTCTCAAGGCGTTTGGTAGGTGTGGGAGCAAGAAAAGCAGGGCGCTTCTAGAAGACAGGCTGCCTCCTTATATCTGTGTGTTCAGCTCCAACAATCACAGATGTGGTGTGACAGGAACGTCTGTCAGACGCTCATCTGCTCTCCCTGGAAACAGACCGACAGGTGTAGATTTAGTCCTTGTTTTGACAGGGGACTGTAATGCCATGAAGCACTGTGGCATGTCAATTCTCCTGTGAGCAGGAGCTCAGCTGTTCATTCGAGCATTTCCCAGGTTAACAAGCTTCAGCTCCTTTGCCTTTTGTTTCATGAGAGCTGTTTTTTATAAATCAGTAAATCTGTTGTTTGGCTGCTTGTTTGTGGACACTTGTCACTCCTGTTGTCTGTTTTTCTACCGCATGCATCGCTTTTGATGGTGGCCTGAGGGGAGGGGACGGATTTAGACCCAGCCCATTAGGAGATTTACATTTGCTTTGCTGATTTAGTCAGTTTCCTAACTCTGAATGTGAATCATTTTGAAACTAGCATGAATTGGACTGGTATTGTATAGTCATTTGTTTGTGATGTCTTTGAATCATTGTGTGTAGATATGATCGGCCAGAGGTCTGGAGGGTCCAGGTCCTCATCTGGGGTTCAGCTGGGTACCGGCAGAGGAACCCTGCGGCTACGCTCTAAAGGTCCTGCTACCGTGGAGGAACTGGTGCGTGTGTGTTTTTCAGCGCCTGTGGACAAATAATAAGCCTCTGTATCTATTAGAAAGCATTCATTGTGTTTGTTTTACTTTTTGTTCTGCAGCCATCTGCGTTTGAGGAAAAGGCCATAGAGAAGGTGGATGACCTGCTGGAGAGCTACATGGGCATCAGAGACAGCGAGCTGGGTATGTGTGTTCCCTCTTCAGGTCTCAGGAGCCGTTTGTGTCAATGTGTTGTTTTGTGCTCACTAAAGGATCTCTCGCTCTCGCTCTCGCTCGCTCTCCCTCTCTCTCCCTCTCTCTCTCTCTCTCCTCAGCGGCGACCATGGTGGAGCTGGGAAAAGACAAAAAGAACCCAGATGAGTTTGCAGAGGCTTTAGATCAAACCCTGGGAGACTTCGCCTTCCCAGACGAATTTGTTTTCGACGTCTGGGGCGCCATCGGGGATGCCAAGGTCGGGAGGGTTTAACCACAAACACTAACAGCGATGAACAACCTGTGTGTGCGTGACACCCACAGCATCAGACACTACTAGGAAACACAACACTACTGTTATGAGTTTGTTTTTATTCCAGTGTATACTCCTACTATTTTAATTTAGAGTGCACTCTGTTGGGAGACTCTGCCTACATGAAGAGGACGATGGCAGGGGACAGGAGGAGAAGCGTCTGTGAAGGCTGCCCAAGTGCTTTTATTCGTCTTCCAGCTTTTCCAGAAACTACAAGCACGCTGATGAGCACTTCCCTTTTGACTGCGTCACATGACCCTGCATGTCATTGTTGTAGTTGCTGGCAGTGGAACGAGAACAGCATAAGTCTGAAAGACGAGAGCTAACACCAAGTAGACACTTAGAAAAAGAAAATGTGATTTTTATTCCTGAACATTGCACCGTGTTGCACTGCGCTGTAGACCAACAACAGGGCGGAGCCGAGATGACACTGTATTTGACCTTGGTGAGCGACACAGTCATCGTTCAGTTTGGTCCTGAACCACTCGATGTTACTGTTAAAGATGAGTTTTACAAGCATGTGCTGTTTAATCTTTCTCTTCTTAATGAACTCTGCTGGTTTTATGTTTTTATTTGGTGAAAGAGAAAATTAAAGTCGCAGGAAGTTTAAAGGT